ATGACCAACATGTCATGCTAACCCCGAAATCCCTCATACTCCATCAGCATTCCGCTCCGCCCCGCTGCGCTCCAGACCGGCTGCACAAAGCAAAGCCTACAGCCTCCACTGTGGCTCCCGTCCGCTCCGCTCTGAGTTCCTTGGAGATCGTAGAGGGCATGCGCGAGATGATTAAGTTCAAAGCAGCAAAACATGCAGAAATGATCCAGGGTTTCCGCGGATCATTAAAAATAATTACAATTCATAAATTTTTTGGGATTTTTTTCATTAATTTCATAAATTTTCATTTTTTCATTATTTTTTAAAAAATTTTTTATTTTTCGGTGTAACAATAAACATATACCGAACCGAACACCATGACCACGAAACCGTGAACCGAACCATGGATTTTGTGAACCGTTCCACCCCTAATATATATATATATACACACACACCCCTAATATATATATATACACACACACCCCTAATATATATATATACACACACACATATATGTGTGTATATATATATATATATATACACACATCTACATTCCAAAAATATGGCAGACATACCCCTGTATGCTGATTGGCATCCAGAATGATATAAATATTATTGAATCTTAAGTTTTTTCCCATGATACTTCTCTGTCATAAAATTATTAGATATCCAAATCTGCCTTATATTCACAAGAGACAAAAACAATAATACATTGCGCTTACTTTTAATATCTGAAAAGGTTCTTTGAAAATGTCCAACCAATTAGGCAACGTTTCTCACATACCTGGCAAACACACGATCGTTGAATGTGTCGGCGGGACCCGTCCTAAGGTTGTTCTGGTTAGCGATCATCTCCTTCACCCACTCTACCCACGTGTAGAGGCGCAGAATGCCAGCGTCAGCCATGGTCTCTACAAAATTGGCGTCTTCCACCGTGTCCCCAGCATCGGCTAGAGCCAGACGCATACCTGAAAGCAAGAAAGAGGGTAAACGCTTAACGAGAGGATTAAATGTAATTTATTTATTTATTTTTATCTAGGTATCAGCTCCATCAGGAGAAAATGAACTTTATCCTCCAACTTAAATTAATCTCATTTGAAGAAGGTTGGCTGAGCGGTATTTGTTTGGGCTGATGATATGGATGCAGTGTAGGGTTGTAAAAAGTTTGAAATGACCACCTTTAGGAATAAAAGCAGGAAGGTTTTAAGAGTGAGGTGTCTCATTTCTATTAGGGTGCAAAATTATATTAAAATCCAAGAAGTATATTTTTAGACTATTATTAAAACGTGTTTTTTAATAAACCTTTAAATAAACATTTAATAAATCAAATGTTATGGGACCCACAACATTCTTGTTTCAATAAAGACGCTCAGGCACTGTGAAGTGCACTAAACGTGAATGTGTAATGATTTATCACAAATTTCAATTATCCCAATAAAGCATGGTCAATGACCAATAGATAAAGCTGAGAAACAGGAAGGATTAACTATTATTTTGTTTATTTGAAAAATATATATATAAGGATACATAGAATTACGCACTGGCTACTTGCACTGTAATAATAATAATCTAAAAAAGTATTTCATAATATACAATATAATCTCAAGCGTAAATCTTCCTGTTAATAGGTATGTTTCTTCTCCACTATTGCTGCACTAAAGCTTGGTGGAGGGATTGCTCCAACGTCAAAAGCACAGTTAACTAATAACTACCGTCACTACATGTTCATGAAATACAAGTGAATCCTACAACTTAAATCGCTTAAAGGTGAACAATTATTTTTATTTTTTTTACATTGGGCCCTTGATTTTACGTTATTACATCATGTTCTACTCACCCATATTATTTTTGTTTCATTTGGAGCTGTTCTGAAGATATTCGTTTTTGTTTTATCCAAATAACGTCTTCTATGGGCAACAAGTTGAAGGCACAAACTAAACTGTTCATAATCTATTCTTTATGGTACGCCAGCATGACACAAAAATAATATGGGTGAGTAGAACACGGTGTAATAACGTAAAATCAAGGGGCCAATGTAAAAAAAAAAACGGTGTTCCCCTTTAATGCAATCAGTTGGGTTTCTTTAGATAGAAAATGTTCTGTGTGACTGGATTGAATCATCTATGTTATGTGCCATGTAATGATGTGAAATTGTAATTCTAGCCATCGATTGACACAGAAAATGGTAACAACGCAATCCATTGGAAACAAAAATACACATATCACTTAAATACAAGAGAATACTAATAATGGGTAAAATAAGACATTGTAAAGAAACACGATGTATAAAATACAAAAGGAAGACAACACAAAAATGATTTTACCATCAGCTGAAAACTTGCTGATTGCTTGGCTGAGAGTTAGGAAGTTTCCGGTTGACTTGGACATCTGGTAAAAAATAAACATACCAAAAAAAAAAGAATAATAGCAAACAATAAATGTGGGAAGCCACATTATTTTAACTGTATGTCTATAATCAAAACAAATGCATTGAAACAGAAATTTAGATTTACAGTTAAAAAATGAGGAAAAAAAAAGTAGAAATTAAAAGCTGGAATATTTAACAAAGGATGCAAACAGGTGTTTCTATGTTGAACATAATAGCTTTTAAAACATCACAACATATTTTAATACCAACACTAGTTTAGTTTGGAGTTACTAATCATAAGCTAAATGCCATTTTTGTAGTTGGTAAATGTAGTAATGCTTAAAATTCAAATCAATTACTATCATATCAAAAAAAGGATCATTTTAACTTTTTTGCCTCAACAAAACACTGATCTATAAAACAGTTGTTTAAAGCTAACCCAAGATAAAAGTTATTTTATTGCCATCTATATGAAGAGAACACACCTTTTAATTAGTGCCATCTCAATGAATCAGAGCGACAAATATAAGAGATAAAGCCTGAAAGAAATATCCATCTAAAGGAATTCAACATTTAATATTGGTGTAATTCTATTTGAGAAAATCCAGATCCTGGACAAACATTAAAAAGACATTTCTTTAAACAAACAGGGAGCATGTTCCTACATTATTTAAAAATAATGCCTTCATGTCCCACTCTGTCATGGCATCAGACAGCTTGGCCTTCTAGCTTTACAAAAACCAAAGACATAAGTCTAGTTTTACACCTTGCACCGTCACGTCTTGAACCGAGAAATGACGCGAGACATACCGTATTTTCACGACTATAAGGCGCATATAAACGTCTTTTTTTTTTCCTCAAAATGTGCGGCGCGCCATATAGTGCGGTGCGCCCTATGTGTGTTGTTACTGCGGACGTTGTTGAGACCACCATGAGAACGTTAAATGGGGAAGTGTGGACGTGGATTGTGTATAAAAGAACAGGTATGTGTTTTATGCAGA